CTGCATTGAGGTAAAAAATGTTTAGGCATCAGTATCCCCCCCTCACCCCCCTTTTTACTTACCTGAGCCCCTGTTCAATCCAACACTGTGCATGTCTGCAACTCTTCTCTCCCCTCACGTCTGTGTCTAGCTGGCTTTGCTGGGGCACCAGATGCCATTGGCTCCCAGCAATGTCCATCAAAGCCAGTGACGAGGGAGCTGGGGGCGGGGCTGAGTCCTGCTGTCTTGGTCAATGGACGCAGCAGCAGGGCTCAGGAATGAGCACATACGAGTGCCCCCATGGGAAGCGGCTTCCTATGGGGGCACTGGACAGAGAGGAGGGGCCAGGAGTGCTGGCGGGGGACCCGAGAAGAGGAGGTTTGTGGCCGCTCTGTGAAATTCCATTGCACAGAGCAGGTGAGTATAGACATGTTTATGATTTTGAAAAAAAAATGTACCTTTTATAATCGCTTTAAGAGAAAAAGTTTGGCAGGAGATATACTTGAACCACTTGGCTACCCAGCACTTATACCCCCTTCCTGCCCAGGCCAATTTTCAGCTTTCAGCGCTGTCGCGCTTTTAATGACAATTGCGTGGTCATGCAACGCTGTACCCAAATAAAATTTTTATAATTTTTTTGAGACAGTGCTTTCCTTTGGTAGTATTTAATCACCACTTGGTTTTTTTTCTGCCAAAGAAACTAAAAAAACTGAAAATTTTGAAAAAATAAGTTTTTTCTTCTTTCTGTTATAAAATTTTGTAAATAAGTAATTTTTCTCCTTCACTGATGTGCACTAATGAGGCTGCAGTGATGGGCACTTATAGGCTGCACTGATAGGTGGCACTGATGGGTATTGACAGGTGTCACTGGTGGGCATTGACAGGCATCAATAATGGGCACTGAAAGGCAGCACTGATAGGTGGCACTGATTGGGACTGTTAGGCGGCACTGGTAGGGGTCACTGATAGGCAGCACTGACTGGCACTGATAGTTGACACTGAAAGACAGCTCTGATGGACACTGTGGCATTGATGGCCACTGGTATGTGGCATTGATGGGCACTGGTAAGTGACATTGATGGGCACTGGTATGTGGCATTGATGGGCCCTGACAGGTGGCATTGATGGGCACTGAAAGGCAGCACTGATGGGGCTACACTGATGATCAGTGCCCTGATGATCAGTGTAGATGTCCACTCTGAGGAATGCCACTTACCGGCTCTGCTCCCCTCTCCTTACGTACTGTCAGTGTAAGGAAAGGACTACCGATAACCGGCATTTACTATTTACATGCGATCAGCTGTGATTGGACACAGCTGATCACATGGTAGAGCCTACGTCATCGGCTCTTTACTGCGATCTGTGATCCGCTGTGTCCCAGGGACACAGCACACCACCAATCATATGACGTCAGGGGCGGACTGACAACTCATGGGGCCCCTGGGCAATATGGGATCATGGGGCCCCTGTGTCCTTGCCCAAATTCAAAAAAGCCTATGAAAAAGGTACCAGGGGCATCTCATGGGCCCCTTACTGACCCCGGGCCCTCGGGCAGTGCCCGAGTTTCCAAATGGTCAGTTCGCCCCTGTATGACGTCCTCCCTGAATGAGAGAGCTGACGCCCATCCGCCATTTCCTTATATGGAGGGCGGGAGGCACTTAAAGTAGAACTAAATGCCACAATTTATTCATTTTGGATAGAGTACAGGAGTTTTATAACCTCTGTCTGTTTTTCACCTCTGGTCTCATAGCCAAAACAGGAACTGTGAAGAAATCTCTCCAAGTAAGGGAATCCCACAGCTTGTGTCCCCATTGGAAGCTTCTCCCTCTATTCTTGTTCTGACCAATTAACATTTAGAATTTTATTTCACTTTTGGGGATAATGGTCACCAGAACAAAAAGGGTGAATCTCCCTACCTGGGACGCAGACAGCCATGAAAACCTGACGGGGTTCTAAACTCTCCACTGTAACCAAAACAAAAAAAAAAAAGTTTTGCATTTAGTTGTAATTTTAGCAACTATTGATGGTATGTTGCTTGTGAACCAGTAAATCTCCTGTCCATTAATGTCTTGAAGAATGGGGCAGGCCATTGCCTTTGCCAATATAATGTTTCCTGAACTGGTTGATAAAATATTTTTGTAATTAAATGGCTGGCCTGATCAATATTAGCATTCTATGGGCTCTGATCAATATTAAGCATTCACTGGACTCTAATCAATATTCGCATTCGTGCCCACACCAATAAAAAAAAAACACAAAGAAAAGAAAGATGACTTAAATTATGTCATGCAGGAAGAATCATATTTTAGTTGGCCAAAGGAAACATTTGAGGACATTTCCAGGGGCCAGAAACTTGTCAAGAACATATTGTCAAAACCCGAGACTTGGACGTGGAAAAAAAAAAGGCGCCGTCTGACGAGACCCGTTCTCCACAAACTTTTCTGCAGTCAGCTCCGATTTTATTTAACCTTCTAAGGGAATTTGATCTTCAGATGACTTAACACGGTGTTCGGCTGGCGGGGCCCGTCTGTGCTCCTCAGGAAGGATTACCTTGTCAGAGTGATCACAGCTCCTTTTCCCAGACTCAGGCGTGTGCGCCAGGCCCGTCGGGACAGTTGCTGCCTCACTCTGCACAAGGACTGTCGGACCTGCTCATCTGCAATTTATGAAAGGCTTATAGAATGTTTTCTCTAAAATACTTATAACTTTAGTTTTTTTTTCAGTGCTGGGGCGGCTTCTCTCATAATAATAATAAAAAAGCACACAAAGGTTAGTTATGGTTAAAAAGCTAATAAAGAGGTGTTTAGACTTGGTAGCTGAGTCTCTGATCATGTGATTGGCTTTCACAGTGGACACATGAGCAGGAGACCATCCTCCCGTCAGCTGTACATGGTGACTGGGGCTGTTGGTTGAGGAAAGTGGAAAAGCAGCACTGGACCCATTGGGTTATTCCACTGGTATTGCTATCTGAAAATATTGATGTTGATGTAGGTGTGATCTGGTTCCTGGCAGGCAGTGTCTACACCCCCGAGGATCTCCATGGTCTCCTTGGCTTCTAATGTAATGTAACAAACATGGAAACTGAAGCACCATGCCACTACTAAGAGGTCTAGATACAGCTTTATTCCAATAGAAATCAAAGCAACAATTTGAAGATTCACCAACGCATTTTGGGGGTCCACAAACTCCCCCTAATTGGGGCTTGATTAAACACAATGTGAATGGGACAGACTTGAGCAAGATTGACAGCAGCAATGGCCAATGGCTTACACTGCTGTGTGAGCCATTGAAGAGGGAGAGACCTGGGAGAGCCCCTGCTCTCATGCACAGCACTGGTTTAAGATGGGGCTAAAAACACTTGAGCCTTTAGAACCTCTTTTTAATGTTATTTTTTCCAGTGTGATTACAAGCACAGGCCTTTTTCAGCAGCTGGTTTGGCAGCAACCACGCTGGAGCTGTTGGTGACACAGTACTAGGGTATGGAGTGAAAGCTCTCCCAGCCCAGAACAGTGTCTCTGACTGTACGCATAGAGGAGGCATAATGGCGCTAAAGCCCACTGTCGTGCCGCCACACGTAGGCATATAGCAAGTGGCACAGTCTTAAAGAAAAATTAAAAGTAATATTTCAAGAGGTGTAGGTCCTGCCCCTCCCTCTCCTAGTCTGAGCACCTCTGTACAGGGCCAAGAGGCAGATATATTTAGGTACTTGTAATTAAATAAAGTCAAATTATGTTTTAATGAATGCATAGATGTTTTAATGTGTCTTTTGTAGCATCCTTCTAGTGTAGGATGCTAGGTAAATTTAGTTTTTGGCTCCTTCTGTAATTAGTGATCATTTGTTCTGGTCTGTTCAGGATTTTGTAGGCTGGGTTTGATTGCTTGCCTTGCCTCTGGAATAAGCCACCAGAGCTTAAGGAGGGAACTGCAAAGAGCCAGCAAGAATATTTTCATGCTCCAGTCAATCGCTGGAGAGGAATGCCCAGAAGGGGGTTGGAAAGGTGATAAATAGTCTAAAGAACTGGAGAGCTAGGTTCTTTCTCCTCAGGAGGGTTCCAAATCCTGAGCGGCTGCTGTCCTTAGGCAGCTCCTGGACTGTGTAGCTGTTCTGGAGGCCTCAGCAGGATCAGGGCTGGATCTTCATAGAAGCTGGTGGCAGGACCTCAGCTTCATCTGGTCTGGAGAAAGATTATCTCACTCACTGGACCATATCAGATGGAAGCTGGAACATGGCAGCTGTTCTGCAGACTTGAGTAAAGACCATAAATTGACCCCTGTGACTGTACAGTGTTCTGGAAGTCATATTGGCTACCAGTAGTTGTATATAGGTGCAAGGTAACCAAATACCAAAGAAAATTGCCTCATGGCCATTAGCTGTGAGGCCTTAGACTGCTCTGAAACTTACCTCATGGTTCTCAGCTGTGAAGCCTTAGACCAACCTTTCTCAACCTTTTCAACACAGGGGAACCGTTGAAATAACTTTCCGGTCTCAGGGAACCCTTGCTAAAAATAACTATATCTTCAACTCATGATACATTAGTGTGAAGGTCATTGGGAGGAATTTCCCCCTCATAGTTTGCTAAAAAGATCAAAAATGTCAGTGGGAACTTATCTGGAAGGCAGAAATTGCTTTTTGTTCAAAGAACCACTAGCAACCTCTGGAGGAACTCTGGGGTTCCATAGAATCCTGGTTGAGAGACCCTGCCTTAGACTGTTCCATACTTACAATTACTTGGGGGAAGATTGTACTCTAAATGCTTAGTGCTAATTCTTTAGAAGTATCCCGTGCTCCAACCCCTCTCCTGGTAAAGTTTTTTCAAGTAATAAATCGTAAAACATCACCTAGACTGTGTTACTGGAGCCAGTGTGAATGGACTGGTACTTGTGGTGATGGGCAGCCTCAGCACTATTAGGGAAGAACCAATTAATGCCAGAAGCCCCTACGGGGGGTATCGTTACATCTTTATACTTTAAAGCTGAATTATGGAAAAAGCAAATATATATTCTAAATACAAGCGTCATGTGTAGTCTTACTTGAACCAAGAGCTTCCTGTAATATAGACCCAATATGACATGGGGGTACATGCAGGGACGGACTGTCCATTCTGGTACTCGGGCACTGCCCGAGGGCCCGGGGTCAGTAGGGTGCCCCATGAGATGCCCCTGGCACCTTTCATAGGCTTTTTTGAGTGTGGGTGAGGACACAGGGGCACCATGATCCCCTATTGCCCGTGGGCCCCATGAGTTGTCAGTCCACCCCTGGGTACATGCAGATGCGGGTCCCCAAATTCACCCTGTGTGTGTTCAGGGACCCGCACCTCCATTTCATATTGGGACACAACTGCTGTGTACATACAGCCACTAGTCCCATCAATGGAAGTCCAGCATCGGGATCCACGCAACACCTGTGCCAGGGAAAGACGGCCATGTATGGGGCATGCAGCTCATTTTCCCATGTGAACATGGCTTAAGTAGTCTCTTCTCTGCCCGTGGCCCCTGCTACTGAACTGATGGGGCCCAGAAAACTTTTATTAAATCGCTGGGAGCCATGGCCGTGGGATTACTGCGTATGCGGATAAAGGTATTTAAGGAATCCCCTCTCTGGGCTCTCATGTTGAACTGATGAGACCCAAGCCCGGTAAAGATGGGCCACCTCTATCCCCCTTTTGGCGGCCCTGTACTGTGCCACAACTGTTTTTAACAAATGAGGACAATTGAGACTGTATTAAAAATGTAATCATTGTGTTTTTGTGTAGGCTTGTGATACACACCGGCTCCCCCCAATTTCGACTCCCTGTCTGCAGCAGCTGGGAAGGTGCAGAAATGTGGAACAGAACAGCTCACGAGATGCCTCAGTCTGACAGTTGGTAAGACATCTAAAGATATATTTAGTTTGTTTTGCCTTCTTTTTACTTTCCAGATGCTGCAGATAATCAGTTGACTGCGATTACACCCGAACATGTCAGAAGACTGTCGCAGTAAAAACATGTGCTCAGTTAAAAAGACTAAAAACTGCGAACGCTCCCGAAAACTTGGGACAGCTGGCTTCTGCGCTTGTTTTCTTGAGCCTGAAAGCTGCAGGCTTTTTATTCTGGCAAACGCACCGAATGACACATTTTAGTAAATATGCTAAGTGTTACTCAGAAGTAAGCAAATCTTACCGTCTCTGAGGCTGATCAGTCGCTAGCTCTGCCAAGCCTGACTCCCAGAAAAAGTTATTTTCTCCAGAATTAGTTTTGTATGTTCAGAAATCTCTGCCATGGCTTATAAAATTTGCAATGAAACGGTGGGACAGCCAAGGAAAATGATATAATTTATCGCTCCGGACTGATTTTACTAGTCAGCTTCTGAATTAAATTGAAGCAAATTCTGTTCTTTTTTAGGAATATATTCACAGGCCCTTTTTACAGTGTGTACAGTTAGAGGATTTTTTTAAAGCTGAATCTTTTTTTCTGTTTATATTTTGCCATTCTTGCTTAGTACATTCCCCTCTCATTATAATGATTGTTTCCATTACATATCTTATTTTGGACCCAGCGATATCATCATTCAGATTTAGTGCTTGTCTAGGCAATGCAGGCAGATCATGACTGGTGGGAGGGGCTGGCAGGGTGCAGTACTCCTCTGAAGAGCCCTCAGCCCTGATGCAAGCATTGGGTTGGATCTTGGGTGGAATTATGCAAATATTAAAATGAGTTGATGGGTGTGGCATTATTTAGTTTTTTAGCGTGCTGTTCCAAGCGCCCATCTGACCTGCTCCTATGACCTATGACTACTCTTTGCTGTCTGAAATGCCAATCATAGCCTATTGTACAAAGTGTGATTCAAAGCAGCCTGTGTACTGAATGAATACATCCACATGCTCCCTATAACAGCAAATCCTCACTTTGAGTTCAGGACCACTTTAATCGCTTCCCGTCTGGCCCATGTAGATAAACGGCCAGACGGGAGCGCTGCCGATGCGGTTGGACGTTTCTAAATGTCCCCCCGCATCCATTGCCTGTGCGCACTCCCTGGGAGCATGCGGCACTGCAATCGGTACCCACTCTGTCCAGATCGCTGTACGGGACCTCTGTGTGAGGTCCAGATTCATATGATCACTGATTAGCCAATCAGTGATCACATGAATAGTAGTAAACAAGATGTCACTTCCTGACATCAGTACTTACTACTTGTGAAATCTGTGAATGATTCACAACAGCCTTGTACCATGTGACAAGCTGTGACCAATCACAGCTCGCACAGTATTTCTCAATGGCTGCAGGAATGCAGCCAGAGAGAAGGAGAAATGATTGCTTTTGCAGCCTTTATGGCTGTAAAAGCAATCAGTGTAAAAAAAGAAAAAAAAAAATCTTCATCCACCCCCACAAGTAGTACAGTGTCACTGTGGTGACAGTAGTATGTTAAAAAAAACATAAATAATATAAAAAAAAGTACACAAAAATTTAGAAAAATTATTATAAGTTTTGGTTATAAACGAATTTGGGTTATTTTTTTTTTTCTACTAAAAAGACAAGATGAATACGTTTTTGGGCAAGATCTATGAAGAAAGATTATTTATTTGCAAAATTTTATAAGAAAAGCACTTTTTTTTAAAAAAAAATTTTTGGACTTTCTCATTTATATTGCAAAAAAATTAAAATCCAAGTGGTGAATAAATACCACCAAAATAAAGTTTTATCTGTCTCAAAAAAATGATAAAAAATTAATATGGGTACAGTGCTGCATGACCGCGCTATTGTTGATAGCACTGAAAGCTGAAAATTGGCCTTGACTGGAAGGGGGTGAAAGTGTCCGGACTTGAAGTGGTTAAGAAATCTGTAATGAGATTCTCAGTACATGGAGAATCTTTAAAAAAGGATGAGCATATTATAAAATAAAGAAGATACAGATATTTAAAAAAAATTAAAATATATATATTTAGATTATATAATAAAATGTGTATGTGTGTGTGTGTATATATATATATATATATATATATATATATATATATATAGACAGCGGGGGGGGGGGGGGGGGGGGGGGGGGGGGGGGGGGGGGGGGGGGGGGGGGGGGGGGGGGGGGGGGGGGGGGGTGTCTATGTATATATATAGAACATGTGTATGCTACTTTTTAGATCGCTGCACATCCAAATGTAAAAGCAAGGCCTTTGTAACATGATTTTCATTGTGTACTGGCCCCCTTGTACAGGGCCCTAAGCATTTGCACGGACTTCCATTACAAGGAAAGCCCCGTCTACCCTGCTTACATATTCTGTATTTGATTTTGATGGTAACTGAGTAAAATGAGTCTACACTGTTAGCTTATTTATCTAATAAAGATATCCCAATTCAAATACAAACAGGACTGTGCCCCGCCAGCAGCTCACTCTATTTGCTTAAATATTCAGATATTCAAACATTTTACATGCAGCTATTCGCACAGAATCTGTCAGGCCTTAAAAATATGTAAACTGAACAGAGACTACAGAACGGCGGGGTTCCTTTAGACGTTTTGATATTGCTTGCGGCTACCATTCCTTTACTGAGCGATTCAGAGATTCATTCAGACAAAGGGGATACAGGGGTTTTTTTTTTCTTGCATTTGCATGTCTGTCTTATGGGGTTTGTTGAGGCACTTAGCTTTGAACTGTGCACTGCAGACCTATGAATTGACCCTTAACTTTATAATGAGGCTCCAACAAAACTCCCGTCAAGTTTTCTAAATATATGGCAAAGATTATAGCAAACTTTTTTCTTTTTTTTTTTAATTATTTGAGATATGTACCACCTCCTATTTTTAAGATATTCCAAAACCATTAATCTATGGAGTGAAGTCGGAGCAGAGCTTGTCAGTTGGTGAAGCAAACCATCATTGCTTTCCCAATGACGACTAATTTACCAATCACAAGATGGAGGGTAGAGATCTCTTCCTTAATTCCCTAATTGTTCGATGGTTCTATTTTCCTATGGTCTGAAGTTAGTGCAGAGCTTGTCGGTCTCCCCAGTTATCACTAATTTACCAAACGCAAGGTAGAGGCATCTTTCTTGATTCCAGGGATTGTCCTATTTATATTTCTATGGTACTATTTTCATATGGTCTGAAGTCAGTGCAAAGCTTGTCAGTTGGTGTAGCAAATTTCATTCGTTTTCTACAGTAAAGACTAATTTACTAACTGCAAGGGGGTGGGGTAGAGACCTTGATTCCAGGGAATTATCTTAGTTCTAGTCCTATGGTCCTATTTTCCTATGGTCTGAAGTCAGTGCAGAACTTGTCGATTGGTGTAGCAAGTCATCATTGGTTTCCCACAGTGATGATTATTTACAAACTACAGGGTAGAGTCAGGGGCGGACTGACAACTCATGGGGCCCCCAGGCAATAGGGAATCATGGGGCCCCTGTGTCCTTGCCCAAACTCAAAAAAGCCTATGAAAAAGGTACCAGGGGCATCTCATGGGGCCCCCTACGGACCCGGGCCCTCTGGCAGTGCCCGAGTTTCCAAATGGTCAGTCCGCCCCTGGGTAGGGTACAGAGACATCTTTCTTGAGATTCTGGGGACATTTTGTTATCTTTTTAGGATTCGTGGAATTTTCAATGCACAGCTTGCCAATTGGTGTAGGAAGTCACCATTGGTTTACCAATGGTGACTAATTTACCAACCACAAGGTGAAGGGTAGAGACATCATCTCTGATTCCAGGGGATTTTGTTAGTTATATTTTTATGGTTCTATTTTCTTCTGGTCTGAAGTCAGTGCAGAGCTTCTCAGTTGGTGGAGCAAACCATAAACGTTTTCCCCCAGTCATGGCTAATTTACCAACCACAAGGTAGAGAGTATAGGCATCTTCTTTGATTTCCTGGGATTTTCTGATTTCTACTTTCTTATATTCCTATGGTCCAATTTCCCCATGGTCTAAAAGTTAGTGCAGAGCTTGTCAATTGTGTCGCTAACCATCAGTGGTTTTCCACAGTGATGACCAATTTATTAACCAAAGGTAGAGGGTAGAGTCAACTTTGTTGAGATTCCAGGGAGTTTTGTTATATTCCTATAGTCTACAGTCAGAGCTTGTCAGTTGGTGCGGCAAGCCATCAGTGGTTTCCCACAGTGATACCTTATTTACCAAACACAAGGTAAAGGTAGATACATCTTTCTTGAGATTCAAGGGAATTTTGTTAGTTATATTACCTTGCAATGGGAAATATTTGACTAAGGGATTGCAGACACAGAGGCTCTACAAATTTACCTTTAATAACA